CACATACAGGTTTTTGACTTCTTTTCCCCAACCATTTTGCCCCAAAAAATCAGAGAAAGTGTGTGGTGGTAATTTTTGAATTCTGTTTTTTATACACACTTAGATTTCTGCCAGAATACTTTAACTTTTTTAACCAAATGTGCAGGTGTCAAATGCACCCTTAGCAGCAATCTCTGAACTAACTCCTGCAAAAAGAATCTAACTGGAGATTTGGGGAAAGGAAACTAACTAAAAGTTTCTGCTTTCAAAAGAAACAAAAAAAAAAAATTCAGGAACAAGTCTTACAAAAAGGTATGCTCTGTGTGGGAGAGCTTAAAACATGTTCCAATACATAATCCGGGTTTTGAAGGGCAATCGGGACAGTGAAAGGGGGTGTCTGTCCTTTTCCCTTTTTTGTAACAGACCCGGCAACGTTTCTGGGGATTTGTTTTATTTAAAAATATAATGTGTAGCACCAATTCTTGATTCTTCTGGCACCGTTGTTGGAACTTCAACGGAACCATCTCCATAAATGATTGTTGAAATCACTTTAAGTTGAAATTGGAGAAAGGTGGTTCTTCCAGGATTAATTTAAAAAAAAAGTATAACGAATTGTGGGTTGCTACTTGCATCAGCCACCTTTTTATACCAGGCTTTAGTTTTTCTTAAAATAAGATATGGCTGCATGAGCTGATCAGCCAAATCTACACCTCATGTGCCTGTTATAAGCCCTGACACAAACAGGTTTGGAATGTACTCTGCCTCGGACAGTGACGTCTGACATGCTTTCGTCGTGGATGGTGGTTAGCATGTTAACATCCTTCCTGTCCTTAAATTTAATTACAAGCACTTCAGCTTTGCGCAGAGCTTTGCATTCACCTTTTGTTAATTTGGCCTCTATGAGAGTTCTGGGGAAATCTTTGGAATTTTTTCTCACAGTGCCCCAGGCCAGTGTCTGCAAACTATAAAGCGATTAAAACAAACGGACACTACTATAGAAATTGTTCACATAAAGGTGGTAACCCTTATTGAACAAGGGGATCAGTAGGTCCTAAACTATTTTCCCACTTGTCCCCAGAGAGTCAGGACAGCCAGGAGGGTCCAGTTGACCATCTTTCCCCTCATATACGCGAAAGGCAAACGTATAGCCACTTTGTAAAATTTGACGCCATAACTAGCGTGCTTTGAGGGAATGTACTGTTTGAACCCCAATCTCCCTTTATATTTCATGAGGGGTTCATCAACAGAAACATTTTGCTGGGGAGTATAAACTTCAGAAAATCTGTTCTGAAGATGGTCTACCAGTGGGTGTATTTTATGAAGCCTGTCATATTAGGGGTGATCTCTGGGGTGACGGAGGGTATTGTCATTGAAATGCAAGTATCTCAGCATCAACTTATATCTTGCTCTAGACATTGTTTGGGAGTATATAGGACTAGAACAGATTGGGTTGGTGCTCCAGTAAGAGCGGATTGATGGCTTCTTTATTATCCCCATGAGCATTGTAAGAGCCCAGAATTCTTTGAGTTCAGGGACATCTGTGGGTTGCCAAACATGCTCCCTGACTACATAGCTACCTGGATTTGCATCAAAAAATTGTGTAACATATAAATTAGTCTGGGAAGCAATCTCCTCCCAGATGGTATCCCCTAAAAATAGCTCCATATCTTGCATAGCAGAGAAGTCCTGCACATTGACATTAATGCCTGCGTTGGCACTAACAGTGGGGATGTTGGGCTCAACTAACTGTGGAGGTACCCAGTCCTCCTCCACATTCGTCGTAGCAGGGGAAGCACAGCTTCTTTTTGCAGCCGGCTCACAGACAGATGACGTGTCACTAGACATGTCAGAGAACTGACCTGGGTCAAAATCAGACACAGTGTCAGTGGCATCAGAGTCTGACGCCAAGAAGGCACATACCTCCTCCAAGTTGTACATGCGCTGCATGTTTCACCAACACACTACCTGACACACAACTAACAAATTGCTAACACACAAAGTTTTTTTAAAAGTTTTTTTTGTAAGTTTTTTTTTTTTAATAGACTTACAGACTAAAACAGACTTTAGCGGCAATCCCTAAACTAACTCCTGCAAAAAGAATCTAATGGAGATTTGGGGGGAAGGAAACTGACTAACTAAAATTTGACGCTTATAAAAAAGAGTCTAAAACACGATAAAACAGCTTTTTGACAAAAAAAACTTTTAAGGGCAAAAAAAAAAAAAAATTACAGATAGTACAAATGCACTGCTGTAACAGGACTTGGCAGGGAAGGAGTTAAAATAATATTTTTTGTTTTACTTTTTAACAGGTTTTGACACCTCTAGCAACTCTTTCACACTGGCAACAAACTATCCGCTCTGATCTCTGTCTCTCTCGCCTCACAAAACTCTACAGAGGAGAGAGAGGCAGAGATCAGTGTCAAAGTGAGTGTTTGTAACACCCACTTTGACATCAGCCAATTGTGAGCGATCGCGGATCGCTCACATGCCGTAATTGGCTGTTACTATCTGCCTGAGATGCCGGGCAGATTGTAACAACGCGGAATTTCGTCGGAAGAGATCTCTGATCGCTTCCGACGCCCGTTTTCAGTTGTGATGGTTCAGGACCGTCACCGGTCCTCAACAGTATGTTACCGATGATGGTCCTGAACCATCATCGGTCGTCAAGGGGTTAAAGTCAGAGCTTGATGGTGCAAGTTGCCTTGTTGTGGTCCTTGTTATATAAATTGTTAAATATCCTTTGCCAAGTGCCATATTCTCAAGGCAACAAATATTTATCCCTTTTCTCTATTGTTTATGGTTATGTGACAATATTTAGAAGGGATGTAAACCCTCTCTCAGTCATACTACGGTAGTAGCAGTGCTACCACCACTACCCTTCTCTTTTTGTTTTTCAGATTGTGGACATTGACAGTGGGAGGACCCAAGATAAACTCCTGATGTAATTACCAGGAAAAATAATCTATAAACTAGAACTTTGGAACATTTTGATAAAACGTAAATCTCTAAATGCAAGAACGTTCTCCCAAGAAATAAAAAGAGGAAAAAGACTTATGTTGTCACTTTATTGTGGGCTTAAGATAGAGAGCAGGGTTATGAAGCCGATGTGGGCTGATTCGGCAAATCACAAAAACATCATTGATTAACGCCATCTGTAAAATATGAAGCTGCATCAATAGTTCCTTACTCTCTCTGCGACTGGTGGGAAAGGCTGACTCATAGACACACTAACCAGCTTTTGGGTTACGACTGAAGGCTATATCGCCTGTGTTATTGCCAAGGGCTGGCAACATCTGGAAAGGGAATCTCAGATCTAGAACAGGATTCAAGTCTTTATCATAAATCTTAACTCACCAAAATACGATAAGAATCTCCTCACTACCACAAACACTTTTTATGTGTAACTAAAGCGACTGTTAACAAATAACGAATTACTCAATTAATTAATTTTTTTAAATGTATATATTTTATTGAGATTTTTTTTTTCAATTTGGTTGGTATTACATGACAATAGCAATCAATATTACAAACATAAAAGAAAACATAAAGTTCAAAAGTACAGTCAGTAAATTATACATCACATCAAACGTAATATAGGTCTCAGAGGTCATTGACGTCATGTAAGTACTGTATGTGTGATTCAGGAAGACTGCGTCATGTAGAGAGAAGATATGTAGGTATCAATGGGATGTAGGCAGTGAGATGTGTAAAAGGCTAAGTGAGAAAGAGCAGAACTAAGGGATAAGAAATGAAGAGGAGGAAGAATAATGAAGGGTTTGTCCCCGGCAGCACTAACGAGTCCTAAAGGGACACTCCAGGCACCCAGACCACTTCTGCCCATTGGTGTGGTCTGGGTGCCAACTCCCACTATCCTTAACCCTGCAACTGTAATTATTGCAGTTTTCATAAACTGCAATATTTACCACGCAGGGCTAAGTCCTCCTTTAGTGGCTGTCTACTAAACAGCCACTAGAGGACACTTCCGTATTCATAGAACATGGAAAGTCTGCTATAACGTCGCTGGACGTCCTCACGCTCTGTGAGGACATCCAGCGTCGCCGAAATCCGCATAGGAAAGCATTGAAAGCATTTTTCAATGCTTTCCTATGGGGAGGTCTAATGCGCGTGCGTGGCATTGCCGCGCATGCGCATTAGGTCTCCCTCGCCGCCGGCCGCGCATGCGCAATAGGTCTCCCCCACTGGCTGACGTCGGCGGGGGAGGAGCGCAGGTGGAGCCTTACCCAGCGCCGAGGGACAACGGCACTGGATACAGGTAAGTCACTTGAGGGGTTTTAGCAACTTGGGGTGGGGGTGGGAGGGAGAGGGGACCTGCAGTGCCAGGAAAACGGTTTGTTTTCCTGGCACTGGAGAGTCCCTTAATGGGCATTCTGGTACTTGGTATTGTCTTGAATTTGGATAGAGTGTCAGTGAGTTTATGGGTCATCTCTTTATATTGCTGTCTGTTTCAGGGAGGTCATTAGTGAGTGAATCAGTGGTTGCAGGTTTGTTTTCCAATGTCCAGCAATGGTGGTTCTCGTGACTGTGAGAACATGTAATCTTCAGTAGCAGGGGGAACATGTTGAGGAGAAGTTGTTCAGGTTATAGTGGTATTATGGACCTTAGTGGTGTAAATCACAGATTCTATGGCTGTCCAGGATGCTTTATTAAGAGAAAAGTCCCCGAAAATGCGAAGGAGCGTGCTGAGTTGACGTCAGAACTTGTAGGGTAAATATGCCCCAGTCTCGTGGCCACCTCATTATCAGTTTTCAGTTGGATTCCCAATGTGTTATGCATTTTGAGGTGCCGTGAATGTTACATGTTGCTTTCATCCATACAGGCAGCGGGAAGGTTTTCCCCAATTTTGATTCTCATTGATGGAATGCCTTGATATTTTATTGATGTTTATGAAGAGGTTTCTTGTTTTCTCATTCCAATCGAGACAGGTCATTGACACATTTCCATTTCCGCAGCAGACCTCCACTGCGCTCTGATGGCAGGGAGGAGTGGGTGGAAGCTGCAGCTTAGCTATCTGTGCTGCTTTCACTGCTCAAATTGCAAAGTCCATGGACTTGATATATGATGACATCTGAGGTCTCGGGTGTGTTCACCTTCAATTTCTTTGGTTTTCTGTGGAAGCAGCAGCACAAGGCTCGTAACAACCGTCTCATGCAGGATCCCTTCTTTTTCTTTTTCTTCTCCTCCTCTTCTTTGTCGCCTTCATCAAACTCGATTTCGATTTCGTTCTCATCTGATGTATCCTTCCCACACTGAGCGGGTCTTTCCTGGGTTCCAGGTACTACATCCTCTATAAGTAGTACTTCAAAGTTCTCTTGAGCTTCGCTTGACTCTTCCAGTAAAGGTCCATCTTGAGCATGCTAGCCATGAAAAGAAAAGAAAAGAATAACATCAAAGTTTGCCACCCACTGGTGTATAGTGTATCACAGTGACACACATGGGAAGGTGATAAATCACACACACTCAGTACTACAATTATCAAACTGTAAGCAGAATAAGCAATTTGTTCTAAATACGTAATTTATCCTTAGAACCACAGCATTAAATATAGTTCTAAGATCTTCCTTTCGGTAATGTAGAGAGTATTGTCATCTTTCTTTCTTGTGTATAGGAAAGTTCAGAGATATTTCTCTAATAAAGTCTCTACCTCTAGTCAATATCTAGTGACCCAAAACCTTAAGGACTAATCTGCCATACTGAGTACATCCTTACCTGGTCTTGGATCCCGATCTGTGCTGATGGGGAACTCTCACATGCTCCCAGGGGCTCAGCCTCAGTTTCGCTCAATATTTCCTTTGCTAAGCCCATTTCGTTTGCAAGTGCGATAGAATTTCCATGCTTCAAATCAAAAGAAAAACAAAATCAGAATTTATTCATTAATGTATCCCTTGGACAATGTCATGTATCAACTTTCATAGTAATATGTGTGACACTATGAATGATATTTTATACACAGAGATACAAAATAAAAACAGCACAAATAATTGCGACTGGGCCCTGGAATTCCTCCGATCAAGAAAGAAGATGCAAAAAAAAAAAGAAAAAGAAACACACAAATACACACTTATATTGTACACAAACCCGACACACAAACACACCTTGCTTTTCCATATACACATTGACATATCTTTCCAGATATACCCTACATTGACATTTATGGGCACCTCACACTGATACACCCCTGAATTCACACCACACTGATTATAAACACAACCCATCCATAAAATTTACATTTTGCACTCAGTTTTATGAATAGGGAACAAGTCAGTGGTACCAAGACCGAGGCCTTTGGATTTAATGCAGAATCGGTTGAAGGCGCTGTGCAGAGCAGACAGGGTTAAACCCTTCATAGACGGTTTAACCCTTTATCATAGGGAGGCACATAGGACTTCCTGGCACCATAACAACTTCAATTGATGAAGTTGTTATGGTACCCAAAGTATCCCTTTAAGGTTACATGCAATCACTCAATTAAACACACAGTCAGACTCATCCCATCATCTCACTCAGATGCATTGCTTAGGGAAGACTGAGATTCTTTGATTCTTGCACCCAGTTACACTCATGGAAGCACTCACAAGTTCCAGAAGTCTCACGTTGCGTTCATTCTTTTTTTTCTTTTCTTTCTTCCCAGAAGCTTCTTCTATCAGCTGTTCCTTCTTGTCCTCTTCATTCGGTGACTCTGCCTCCATTTCTGGAGGCTCAGGACACACCTCCTGTTGTGTGATAGCATAAAGAGAGAAAATAAATCCCGGAATTTGCTGCTCTGCGTCAACACAAATTAAATTAATATTTTTCTTATGAATACTAAGAGTGTATTTAGTAAAATAGAATATCATACCTTTACCTGTTCTATGTCTGTGTTCACGTTATAATTAGAGTTATGAATAATGATCCCCATCCCACAAGCTGGAGAAACCATTACATCTTCAGCTGCACATTACTGTCCACTGGACACCCCTAACAGTTCCCCTCTGGTTTTTAATGGGATCATAAGGAGGACTATCGCTATACTCACCTGTTCTTTGAGAAATAAAATAGAAAGCACACAGGATATAACAAGTCAACACAATGTGCTATGCTGTGCTATGTGCCATGAGATTAGAGTGAGTATAGCAGGGTTAAACAACCATCTCCCAAAATGCTCTGACAGCCATAATTCTGGCAAAGCATCAGGGGAGATGTAGTTCAGAACATCTGGACTGCCAAAGTTTGCCTCCCACTGGTGTATAGTGTATCACAGTAACACACATGGGAAGGTGATAAATCACACACACGCAGTACTACAATTATCAAACTGTAAGCAGAATAAGCAATTTGTTCTGAATAAGTAATTTATCCTTAGAACCATAGCATTAAGTATAGTTCTAAGCTCTTCCTTTCGGTAATGTAGAGAGTATTGTCATCTTTCTTTCCTGTGTATAAGAAAGTTCAGAGATATTTCTCTAGTAAAGTCTCTACCTCTAGTCAATATCTAGTGACCCAAAACTTTAAGGACAAATCTGCCATACTGCGTACATCCTTACCTGGTCTTGAATCTCGATCTGTGCAGATGGGGAACTCTCACATGCTCCCAGGGGCTCAGCCTCAGTTTGGCTCGATATTTCCTTTGTTAAGTCCATTTGGTTTGCAAGTGCGATAGAATTTGCATGCTACAAATCAAAAGAAAAACTAAATCAGAATTTATTCATTAATGTATCCCTTGGACAATGTCATGTATCAACTTTCATAGTAATATACGGTTTAACCCTTTATGATAGGGAGGCACATAGGACTTCCTGGCACCATAACAACTTCAATTGATGAAGTTGTAATGGTACCCAGAGTATCCCTTTAAGGTTACATACAATCATCCAATTAAACACACAGTCAGACTCATCCCATCATCTCACTCAGATGCATTGCTTAGGGAAGACTGAGATTCTTTGATTCTTGCACCCAGTTACACCCATGGAAGCACTCACAAGTTCCAGAAGTCTCTTGTTGCGTTCATTCTTTTTCTTCTCTTCTTCCTTCCCAGAATCTTCTTCTATCAGCTGTTCCTTCTTGTCCTCTTCATTTGGTGACTCAGTCTCCATTTCTGGAGGCTCGGGACATACCTCCTGTTGTATGATAGCATAAAGAGAGAAAATAAATCCCGGAATTTGCTGCTCTGCGTTAACACAAATTAAATTGACATTTTTCTTATGAATACTAAGAGTGTATTTAGTAAAATAGAATATCATACCTTTACCTGTTCTATGTCTGTGTTCACGTTATAATTAGAGTTATGAATAATGATCCCCATCCCACAAGCTGGAGAAACCATTACATCTTCAGCTGCACATTACTATCTACTGGACACCCCTAACAGTTCCCCTCCGGTTTTTAGTGGGATCCTAAGGAGGACTATCGCTATACTCACCTGTTCTTCGTTGATCTTCATGGCCTGGAAGCAAGGATTTACACTGGGAAAAGAGAGACAAAAAGAGTGAGATTAAATTATATAAAAAGGAAGAATGTAACGGAAAACAAGGAAGTGATAAACATTTTGAAGAAATTAACGAGTAAAAAGTTATGGAAAAATGAAAACAAATGATAAGTAATAGACAAAAAAGTAATAAAATAATTGAATAAACAGGGAATTATATGAGCAAGAAAACACAAATGACGACTCGTTAAATAAAACGTTCCTTCCCCAGACCTGAATGAAACATCATTTTAGCTGCTGTTAAAGTTAAAAATACTCTCACAATATTCTTTCTAGGAAAGCTCCAGGCACCCTAACCAATCAGTGCACTGCAGTCTTATTGTACTTGGATTGCCCTGACACCCTTCAATGTAAGTGATCAAACCTTTTTAGGACAGTGTGACTTCACTGCTCCCTGCCTCCACTACACCCTTCACAGAGCAGGAAGCTCTCTCTCTCTCTGAGCTAAACTTTCACCTCTCATGGCTGCAGAGGAGGTGGTCAGCTTTTTGACGTATTATAATAGAGGGGGCGCCAGAACATTATGCCTAAAGGGTTCCGTTTACTATGAACCATCACGAGAGGCAGCAAAAGGCTAGAGTGCTGGAGGTTACTCATACAATTTATATAATTCTACATATTCTAGTAGATATAGTAGATATATTAAGCTTCCTATATTATTTATGAATCCGATTGATTCTCCTACATCCACATTGATACCAATTTTCCCACCATTTCCAAGCAACCTTCCCAGTGCACAAGGAAAATCACGTACTATGAACTCCGTGTAAAGTGCTGGAGATGAACCATGGTGATGAAGGGATGGCTGAGAAGGCCTATGGGAGTTATCCTCTTGTCTGGGTCCATAGTAAGCATTTCCTTCAGCAGATCAAGAAACTGCCATACATCTGCCATCTCCACCAGTGTGTCACTGCCCTCCAACTTTGATGGTAAAATTATCTGAAGAGAAAGAAACATTTAATAAGAAGGACATTTGTTTTAGTGAGGTTAGCATTCATGAAAAAATATACAAAGCAATATGTGTTTTTTTAGTGTCACAGGGCCAACATCATTCAGTAACTTCAGTAAGGGATTTGGCTGCTTTTCAGTACTCCCTACCAACCTCCCAACTGGGTTTGGTAGGCTCTGGACTAAATAGCTACAATGTTACTGACGACACTAGTAGGGGTTCTAGGCAGATCGTCAGATTCTTGTAACAAGAATAAGGCAGGGGTGCGAAAATCAAGAAATAGGTTCCTGTTTTATACTTTCATAATATATATACTTTTTAAAATGCTACATGTAAAAAAAATACATATTAAAAATGGATAATGGAACACATACGTTACAACAAAATGAAAAAAAGTGTTTATGTAGAGGGACAAAATGTTTAAGGTCTTCCTGTACGAACAATGCACATACAATTTATTTGCACCCAAGCTGTTGCTCCTCACATCCAAAGTTCAGCACAAAGAGATTGCTCCACCACCTCTTCTGTGCTTGACCAACCAGACAATTTTTAAAGTTACACTATAGTCACCAGAGCAACTACAGATTATTGTATTTGTTTTGGTGAGTAGAATCATTCCCTTCATGCTTGTTGTTGTAAACATTGTCTTTTCAGAGAAAATGCAGTGTTTACATTACAGCCTAGTGATAACTTCACTGGCCACTCCTCAGATGGCTGCCAGAGGTGCTTCCTGGGTGAGTGCTGCAAAGTAAGCATCACAACATTCAGTGTCTCCTCCCTCTGCATGCAGATACTGAACCTTTCTCATAGAGATGCATTGATTCAATTCATCTCTATGAGGAGATGCTGATTTACCAGGTCTGAATTTGACTTGTACTGGTTCTGCCCCCGATCTGCCTCCTTCACATTCTCAGCCAATCCTAAGTGGGAAGCATTGGGACTGGCTCAGACCACCACTTCTGATGATGTCAGCAGGCAGAGGCAGTTCAAAGGGAAACAGGGGCAGAGCTAGCAGCTCCATACTTGAATACAAGTAAGATTTTACTATATTTAGGGAGGCAAGAGGAGCCCAGGGGGCGGTTGTAACACTATAGGGTCAGGAATACATGTTTGTGTTCCTGACCCTATAGTGTTCCTTTAAGTATTTTTTTTCTCCTAAGCCACAGAAGTGAGAGAAAGATGCCATGTGATTTTGGATTAATGTGAGTGCCCCAGGAATACAGTACCTTCCTCATATCATCAAGAGAGCCGAAGACATATCTCCTTCTTTCCATTGGTCTAATACCAGTCTCATCTTCATAGTGTATTTTACTCTAGATAAGAGGAAAAACAAGATTGTCCATTAGGTTCTGGAATGAGAACATCACTCAGTGTAGCATTCTACAATATCTCAGTAAATTTCCTGCTAGTGTTAGAAAGGAACTGATAAACACGTCTTACCATTACCTGACCCAGCAGCTTTAACTGAGTCTAAACAGTTTAGTTTTTTATTTACCATGTGGTTGTGAAAGTTTATTTATGAAGTGGCTGCAAAGATGACTGAGAAAGGGGGAACTTGGTAAAACATTTTAAGGAGGAACTATTATTGAAATTTTATCACATCGGAACTTCCAAATTGCTGAATGTTAGTGTGTAAAACTTAATCTGACTTAATAAAATAAATTAAATACAAATCCCGAAATGTTGCTTTAACCAGTTCATGGCAGGTCATTTACTAGGACTGTCATGATATCATAGGATTTGCTTAACCCCACATCCTGAAGGAGTTACATATCATTTTATTTTATATAAACATGGTTATGGTTGATATATGAGGACGCACCTTTAAACTCCATAATAAATCCTCACATTCGCCATTGATTCTAAAGTAATGCTCGGTGTTTGCTCCCCAATCGAGCATTTTATCAGGGGGCAAACCCTGGGTCTCCGTGATGTAGCGGATCTGCAGGAAGGAAACAAGAAGTCACAACCTTTCATGCCAGTACCGTCAGCTTCTATTAAAACTGTAAACATACCCGTAATCAATCATTACCCACAATCACCTGCTTTGAATATGTCTGATTTACTGCATTTCCACAATTTATCAGCAACTAACATTTTCTGCGCTTATACTTGAGAAATCAAGTAAATGAATGTAAACTAGCATTGTGAAATAATATGTAAATTACTTAAAGGACCACTATAGGCACCCGGACCACTTCAGCTTAATGAAGTGGTCTGGGTGCCTGGTCCAGCCAGGATTAACCCTTTTTTCTATAAACATAGCAGTTTCAGAGAAACTGCTATGTTTATATTAGCGTTAATCCAGCCTCTAGTGGCTGTCTCATTGACAGCCGCTAGAGGCGCATCCGCGCTTCTCACTGTGAAAATCACAGTGAGATAATGCCAGCGTCCATAGGAAAGCATTGTGAATGCTTTCCTATGAGACTGGCTGAATGCGTGCGCAGCTCTTGCCGCGCGTGCGCATTCAGCCGTAGAGGAGGAGAGGAGGCGGAGAGAAGGAGGAGAGCTCCCCGCCCGGCACTGGAGAAAGAGGTACGTTTAATCCCTTCCTACCCCTAGAGCCCTGCGGAAAAGGGACCCTGAGGATGGGGGCACCCTCAGGGCACTATAGTGCCAGGAAAACTAGTATGTTTTCCTGGCACTATAGTGGTCCTTTAACTTTACAAACAGTGATACTAAGCATATAAACTAATCTAAAACAAAGCAAAGTAAAAGGGAAGGATGCGCCACGTTAGCGCTGACCCCACTTTGACCCTTTTATATAAACTAATCTGTTTGTCTCCACATTCTAATGCCGCACACATTTTTGCCACAGGGATACTCATTCTTTATTTTATTTAAAACTGGTTCAAATACAAATATGATCAAATTTAAAAGTTGGAGTACAATTACTTCTTATAATGAAACTGTTTGGATTTAATAGATACATTAATTATACAGCTATATGTGTCTATAGAAAGTTACCTAAACTACAAAATAAAGGTATGCTAATGTGCATGCTTTAAAAATGTGTTTCATATATGAATATATGATGTAACATGAGAGCACTGTTTCTCCTGAACAAAATGATATATAATAAGTGTAGGGGCCCTTCATATGGAAGAGGTAATTTATGGTTGATACCTTTTTATGGAAGAGGTAATTTATGGTTGAACAGACATATAGTCAAATTCAAATTCCATATAGTCAAATTCATATTCCATATAGTCAAATTGCCTCCGTCCTTAAGGCGTTCATTTACTAAACAATGGATTGCATTGAGTTAATAACCGTATCCCAAACTTCAGGCTAATAGGTATGACAGCAGTTGGGTTGAAGAGCTCTTCCATATTTGCACTTTTGCCTACGTTTTTCAAATTTCTATCTTTGATTCACAACAATTCTTTGTTTAGTGAATAGTTCTCACTAGGTTTAAAGGACCACTATAGTCACCCAGACCACTTCAGCTTAATTAAGTGGTCTGGGTGCCAGGTCTCCCAGGTTTTAACCCTTCAGATGTATACATAGCAGTTTCAGAGAAACTTCTATGTTTACATTCCAGGGTTGATCCAGCCTCTTGTGGCTGTCTTCCTGTCAGCCACTAGAGGCGCTTCCCCGATGCTCAATGCGATTTTGAGAACATCCATAGGAAAGCATTGAGAAATGCTTTCCTATGGGCGTTTTTAATGCGCGCGTGGCTCTGGCTGCGCACGGACATTCAGCTCCACTCAGAAGCTGACGTCGGAGGGGGGGGAGAGGTCACCAGGGCCGAGAGAGCCCGGCACTGGATAAAGGTAATTGGCTGAAGGGGTTTTAACCCCTTCAGCCCAGCGGGAGGGGGGCCCTGAAGGTGGGGGGGACCTAAGGACTATTTAGTGCCAGGAAAACGAGTTTGTTTTCCTGACACTGTAGTGATCCTTTAAACAGAATTTATAATTTTAACTTTGCACTTTGACTCCAGTGTGTATAAGCAAATAAAACAGCTATGTTATACCTTTCTATGTAAATCAGTTCTGGATTCCTGACTGAGACCTTAATATATAATTAGACATAGATATCTATTAGATTTGAACTCACCTGATCATACGCCGATGCTCCAGGATACAATGGGTATCCTGTGAATAGCTCTGCCATGATACACCCCACAGACCACATGTCGATAGCCTCCCAGAACGGTAATGCCAATAATATTTCTGGGGACCTGAATTTTATTAAAAGGAGAGAAGTCAGAAGGTTAGATAAATAATTTAAATTTTAGTGCTTTAATCACTTAAATTAGATGTAAGTCACTGAAATAGTCACTATTTCTATTAATTTAATCTTGGCTCTGCTTCATTTGGCTGCCTGAGAGTTATCAGTGGAAGTGTTTTACCCCGAATCCTAAAACACTCAGCACAAGTACATATCAGCTAACAGAGCGCTCGGCAAAACCCAACTCCCAGTTCCCCTAGCTTATTGAGAGACCATGGACAGTCTGCAGCCATTTCCAATTACTTTAATGGTGATCAGTTTTTATAAAATGAGAATAATAGAGGAATACTGCCTAAATCTTGCTTTGCAATGTAATTGATATTCTATCATATTCCACAGATTTACCCAGCTTCTCAAAGCCCTTTATATCACTCTGTGCAATATGAGAATTTCGGCAGAGATCCCATGAACCTATATTTTGTAATCTTTTCTACAAAGAATATATCTGTGACATGTCTTCTGACAGTGTGACATGCAAAGCTTTGAAGAAGAAGAAAGGGGGAATATTTTGTCGACTTCCCTTCTCTCTCGGAGAGCTTTGTTAGAGTATCTGGGGTGTTGTCACATGGGCAAATTCTGATCAATCAATGTCCACCTTAAGAGCCCTGTGTGCATGTGTAGAGCTAGCTGACTGCTACACTCCATCAGACGCCATAAATATCACTAATATCCCCTAATATTCAATAAAAAAAATTAACAAAATAATTAACCAGACCTAGTTAACATTATTCTTTATACTCATTTCATAAATGTAAAGGATATCTATACTTTATTTGAAATGTGAATTATGACTTATAAATGTCCCTTACCTATAGTATCTTGTTTGTACGTAACTTGAAACTCGAACCTTGGATGTATGGATGGCACAACCAAAGTCTATGACCTTGATCTTGAATGGGTACTTGGAAGTGTTTACCAGCATGATATTCTCTGGCTTCAAGTCTGTGTGAATTATTTGTATACTCTTTAGCTTAGCCAATGCATTGCCCACCTGCTGCACAATAGGGCGTATGTGTTTCACAGGAAGTGGCCTATTGTTGCGTTTCTTCATAAAGTCGTATAGGCTGATCTCTAACATCTCAAACACAAGGCAGATGTTATCGTTGTGCTGGAAATACTCATAGTATTTCACAACGTTAAATTCGTCTGGGTTTTCATTGTTCAGCTGAGAGAGAATTTCCACCTCATCTTCAGCATCTTTAACAACGCGTGGCTGGTCCTTCATGATTTTGATTGCCACGTTCTCGTTGGTTCCTCTTACAACACCCTTCACAACGTTCCCAAAGGTGCCAGTTCCCAACAATTCCTGCACTATGTAAACGTTAGTGTTAGACCACAGGATGCAAGCTTGTTCCAATCTACTGACAGGAAAAAAAAGGAAATAGTTTAAATTTAACACATTGCTAAATTTCAGTCACAACATGAAACCATCTAAATCAGGATTCTTTGACCATTTAACAAGAAGGTTAATAATGCAATAACATATACTTAGCGCATAGTGTCTACATTTGTACATCTGATATTTGTGATGTTTAATTTGTTTTGTCTGTTAACTTCAATAAACTCTCAGTCCCTTAAGTTGTCTGTCGGAAAATTCCCCGATATTTACAATTTATAGTGGACCGGTCACCGTCTTACCATTCAGCGTCATTGAAAATGTTTATTAAATTGTCCAGTTGTTTTAGAAAATATGGGATCATCAACCGCAGCTGTGTTGAAATTAGTCGCCTAAATAATGAACTACAATCTGTTTCTAGCTTTACCATACAACTTCCACCAGACTGATATAACTGATTGGAGAGGAGTCTTTCAGTTAATAAAATTAGTTTTAACATAATAAACAAAGCTCGAATTGTGTCCTACGATGTGGTCATTGAAATTAAATAAACCTTACAAATGATCGCCCAGTAATCTATAGAATTGGATGCACACCTGCAGAGTCATTTACTTGTTTTTTTTAAATTAACTGTGTCTAGTTAAAAGGGGATTTAAGTTCGAACAATATCATTACATTAATAATATATCAAATTAAATATTTTTATATAAACGTACCTTAAATCATTTTGTTTACATAATTCAGAGTTTTCATCCATTTCATATGGAGGACATTTATTTTCAAATCTGGTTAATACTGTAATAATGTTTAATTACTGACTATTCAGTACTGGGTATACCAGATAATGGACCCAGGTACATGATATTTTGTATCAGAATCACACTTTGTGTCAGTTTGTTTGGTCTGTAGCTGTAGGTAGAGTGCAATGTACAAGCATGGTCAGCTAGCTGCAATCATCCAGAGGTTCTGATGGCCAATGATACTTTCATAATTAATCATATTTTATATAACATAGTGCATGGAGACACATTGTATACGTATTGAATCATTCCATGCTCCTATTGTTAGAAATAGTTGTGTATTTTGGAATAAATGGCTAATTACTATTATAATCAATTTTCCAAATGTAAATCCCTCCCCCATCCCCCCTACGCTTTGTTAATTATTTTAATCATTTTTCTCAAATAGGCAAACATTCTAGACCTTACAGAATAGACATTGTACACTGTTTGTTTTAAACATTGGATAATTGCTAAACTAATTCTTATCTGCATTAACATCATTATTATAGTTCTGGTAGTATCCAGCATGGTTGAGGTTATAATGTCCAGGGTTACAAGTTAAATATCGAACATTGAAATGATAAACAAAATATCACCCCAAAATCCTAACTTGTTAAATTTTATTTATATATATATGGATGGCTATAGAAGTAGTTATCTAGGGATTAACCTTCTAACTTAATGATTATGTCATTACTAATATATATAACAAATTATTTTAAATAAACCTACGGCAAGTCATCCTCATGCTCCTCAGATTCAGCTATATCTAGGTTTGTCTCCATTTTATAAACTGGATATCTTCCAAATTGATCCAATCTGGTTAGGACTGGAGTAACTGTTAATCGCTGTCTACTCGACTCTGGACTAACAGATAATGAACCCCCAGATACATCATCATTTTACATCACATCTCCACTTGGTCTGATTGTTACCACTGTTGCTAAGCAACGGCAGCTGTGAGCTGGAGTACAATGGCCATGCATGGTCAGGTGACTGAAAGCATCCAGATGTTCTGATGAGCCAGTAGTACCTGGATATAGTCGTATTTTATATAATAAAGTGCACAGAGATATGTTTGTATGTACACTGAAACATTATTTGCAGCCTGTCTGTATTGGACTGCAGTAATAACCCATGTTTTTTATTTTACAAAAGTGTGTAATGGCAAATACAGAGAAAAAAAAGAAAAACAAAAAGAACGAAAACTAGCAAATAACTTTGAAATCAAACCTATATTCTGATTGGCTGCTATTTTGAAAGTTAAAAAGGGCCCATTAGTGTGCAGGTTAACCAATAATTAAGCAATCTATGACAGTGGTTCCCAAACTTTTTAGGTTAAAGACGCCCTTAATATTTCAATATTTTTCTGTCAAAAGTTTTGTACCTGTACAGCGCTGCGGCATATACTGGCGCTATAATTGAATGTATAGTGTTGGTATTTGAAGGGGTGCTTGTATATAGTTTTAGTGTAATGTTTGGGTATAATTGTAGGGGTGTATTTGAATGTAATGTTCATCTTTAAATGTGGATGTACATTTATGTTTGGGTGAAGGGGTGTGTTTGTATATAATTTTGGAGTTTGAATGCAGGGGTGTGTTTGTATGTAATATTTGTGTTAGATTGTAGGGGTGTGTTTGTATGTTGTACTTGTGTTTGACTGCTTGGATGTTTGCATTTACACTACCACATACATACATACTTACACAGATATACATGCACATTAACACACAGATACATATAAATACACTGGCACACACACATTTATATAGACTCCGACACATACACACACCGACACATACACTGACACATACACACACCTTAACACTCACATACACAGACATGTACACACACAAATGCACACTCTGACACACAGATGCAGGCAACTTGACACAAACACTGGCATATGTACACACCATGAAACAGATACACACACTAACATAAAAACACACATCCTGACACACTGATGCTCACCCTGACTAACAGATGCACATACACAGATGCACATCCTGACACAAACATGTGGGCGCACACACAGACACATTTACACAGGAGGACACTGACATCTACACACACACACACACACACACACACACAAACAGATGCACACCCTGACACTCACACACAATCTGACATAAACACATACAAGTGATATTTTTTTATATCTGCAGCCACACTCCTGTTAGCTTAGCTTGTGTGTCCAGGAGGGACACACAGACGTGCCACCGAGGAGTAGTGGGAGTTTGATTGCAGGACTTATTTTTATGTATTTGTATTCACTTTTGTATCACACAGCTATGTAACAATACGCCGCCCACTGCATGTGTTCCCTTTTAAGAGTTAATAAGTATGTAGGGGTTCAGAAAAATACCCCTCTCTGTCTCATTAGAGATTTCTTTGCCTGAAGCTCAAAGGAGCAAGGTGAATAGGCAGTGTAGGAACCACCTATGAGATTTTCCTTGACATGGCAGGTGGGCTTGCATCTAATGGCCATTGGAGTTACTAAATGACCTCCGTTTGTTTAAATATACATAAAGATTTGCGAAGTGCTCAGGTAACTCTTTTTTTTCTTCTTTTTTTTACTGTATGTATTGGGGATGATGTGTACTGTAGTCGTTGCTACCGCCCAGGAGTAGTGGGAGTTTAAGCGCAGGACTTATTTTTGTGTATTTGTACTTACTAATAACAGAGAAATGGAAAGTAACAGAAAAGAGAAGGAAACAATACCAAACTATATATGTTTATCCAAACTGTATGCACTGTTTACGCTTCATCCCCTGCATGGGAAAACTGTTCATTGTGATGACTTGTGATTTAACATAAATAAGCAAACAGGTTAACTCATTTTGTGCAATCATATTTCAGAAAAAAGGTTTATTGTCATAATGAGGGGCATTGCTTTTTTTACTACTAGAAAGTTTGATGAAGGTGACAAACTGCACGTTTTTCTTTTCTTATCTACAAAGCTTGCATAGCCATAAACTGGCCAGAGCTGGCTTTAGCCTTATTAAAGACCACGAAATACACTTTAACCCTTCCAGCCTGTCTGTCTGTAGGTCTGTTTCTAGGCAATATCTGCTTTAGCAATAAGAGAGCGGGAGAGCCGGATAAGTCCAAACTCTGTACAAGAGGGGACAACAAACTGTAGTGGATACTGTGCTCAGAGTGTCTCATTATTAAATGAAAAAATGAACGCTCATTCAGTGTCTCCTTGTCTAATGATACCTCCTTCATCCTATCTCAGTGTGAGTCCCCCAAGGCCCTGTCCTTGGTCTCCTTCTATTTTCTCTTTATACTGCCTCTCTTGGCAAATTAATTACCTCATTTGGACGCCAATACCACCAGTATGCCTGTAGCGGAGCTCCCTGTACCTTGGCTGGGTACCTCTGCCCAGGATCGCTTCCTAGCTGGAACCGAGCAAAACTGCCACTCTTCTGCCCCAGACGCCGTAGCTTGACTGGGGTCCCGCTTTTCCACCTGACCAGGCTGTAGCTCTCCTTCCAGGCAGGTATCGTCCCCTCTGCATATTCCCCTGCAGCTCTTCTTCCAGACATGTATCGCCCCTTCAGCCTGCAATTTGATTTCTATTGCTTTTACAAAGGCACTTGCTTTAGGTGCCTCAGGCCTAGCTCTCTTGATTTATCCCAGGGTTAGAGGGATCATGCAACCAGCCAACAGGTATGACAACTCTATGGCTGGGATCCCAAAAAATCCACACAGGACACCGTTCCAAGTGGAACTAACATACAATACTTTATTTTACTTGGGACTAGCCCATATGTTCATTAGATAATACAACATACGGTAATAAAATTAAAATAACCAAAACATGCCACAGAATATACAGGAAATTATAATAGCATAATAACTTATTTATAAAGGGATGGGTAAGACATTAATTAAAAGAACATATCTCTCCTGCCTGAAGAATTAGCAATATGCAAATCTACCTGAATATGCAAATATAGCGATTCTTGCTATTCAGGTAGTGCATACAGCGGTTGCTAGATCCTCGCAACCAACAGGTGGCGCTGTACAGGCTCCACAGCAAAATCCACCTAGTTGATTGCTAGCATTAGCAAGACAGGACAAAAAACACTAACATGT